CCACACTTTTTTTTTTTTTTTTTTTGGAGGATATATTTTAACAAACGTAATATCCTCTCTCATTCGTCGAATCCTTTTCACAAACCACAAAATAGGTAATTAAGTTTATGAAATTATAATACATATCGATAAATAAAATATTTAACATTAATGGTTAATAACTAAAAGTAGGAACTATAATTCTGAAAACAACATGATGCTCACGACTTTTAGTTGTGTTGTCTTTATCACAATTATTGGGTTAACAACTCGCAAGTTTTTTTGGCCATCATTATCAGACACTGAAATGCCACTGTTTTATCAGAATAGTGAATCAGATAATGAGGAGGATGAACAATCGTTGTGATTATTTGAGAAGGATTGGCTTTTTTGAATTTGATAAAGATTCATAAATAATAGTGAAGAAAAGACATTTTTTTATTGACTTTACATAAAATATTAATCGTTAGATGTAAGAGAGATAAATAAAAAATGCATCGAGATATTAATAATCATTTAAACTTTATTATTAAAATATTACTTCCTATTCTTGCTTTGATCTTCGATCTTTATTTAGACGTTAAGTGGTCTTAGTAATCTCAATAGTTTTCAGAGATCTTTATAACTAACATTGTTTCTAAAATGATGGGGGATTAGAGTCGAATTCAACAAAATATGCTTGAATCAATTCAAAAATAATTGTTAATTGTTATATGGTGCATTCACTCTATAGATGCAGACATTTGAAGACGTATGGTTATCGTAACTATATGAGACGTAATAGTTAACATTTTATATAAATTAGTTATGTCAATTTAAAAGGTGATATCAATAAATATGATTACGTCAATATAAAAAGTTGCGTCAAATTTGTTTAATATAAGAAATTAAAAATCAAATGTTACGGCAAACGTAGTAATAGCTTTTTGAATATCATCATATTTTTGCGTTATCAGTTATGAAACACTAGTATAAGTCTGCATGGAACAAGTCAAATGTTAAGGCACAAGTCGAATATTATCTGTTATGGAAATGTTATGGTACACGTCAATGTTATAACAAATGTTAGTTATAGATTTTTGACGTATAGTCTACAATTTAAGAGATACTATACTCATGATACAGAAAACAAAGTTGTGTGTTCTATAAGAGTGATAGGTCTGGTTTCATTTAGTTGGCTGGAAAATTTTTGTTTTTTAGATATCAGATATATGGTACTTTGTTTCCACATTTTTGGAATCTTTTCTAATATTATGCATGCATTGAAGATATCTAGTAATTTCTCTGTTGTATATTTGTCGAGATGTTTGAGCATTTCATTCGATAAAAGTTGTGGGCCAGTTGCTTTGCCTAGTGGAGACTCCTGTATAGTTTCTTGCAGTTCTTGTATTGAGATTGGATATAGTAATTCTTTATACTATTGTGAATTATATAGGAAAAAACTTCCTAAGTTCTTCTTTGAGTTGTGTAGGATTATCTGATGCTTGAGGTAGAGTAATAAAGTATGTCTTTGATAGAGTA